TAATATTTCACAATTTTTACTGTATTTTTTATCAAATAAATGCAGCTTTGGTGAGCTGAAGAGACTTTTTTCGAAAACGTGAAAAAAAAAAAAATCATACTGACACCAATATTTTGAGCAGTAGTGTACATATGCAGGAAAACAGCTAGCTGTGTTTGTGAGGGGTTTGTGCACACCTTGGTTTTGAGAGTGAAGACGGCGTCTCTGATGGTCGGCAGGTCTTTAGCAGAGATGAACTTCTCCATCATTTTATCAAAGTCACGGTGAGAGGACAAAAACAGCAGCATGCGTCGACCAAAGTACCTGAGAGACACAGCAATGAAAGCATGAAGCGCTGAGGCGAGAGTGTGTCTAGGCTGAATGAACTCACGTCTTGTCTGATGAAGGCGTTGCATTCTCCGGCTTTCTGCAGCAGAGCTCTGACCGTCGCATCCAGCTCCTGATCCATTCCCTTCTGCAGCACCGCGAACATCTCTCCCAGCGTCACCACAGCCACACGAGACACGCCGGAGCGCAGGTTACGAACCTTCATCAGAGAGAGACACACCAGATGACGCATGATCAGAATAATCACACTACTGCCTTCTGTAGAGCTGCTTCACAGCTGAAACTAGTTCCATCACTGATACATTTTGCAACATTAACTATGTTTCCATCCACCTATTTTTATGCACATTTTGGAATATCGCATAAAAAAAACCTTGGGATGAACTTCTCCATCATTTTATCAAAGTCACGGTGAGAGGACAAAAACAGCAGCATTTGTCGACCAAAGTACCTGAGAGACACAGCAATGAAAGCATGAAGCGCTGAGGCGAGAGTGTGTCTAGGCTGCATGACCTCTGACCCCTGCGCCGCTCACCTGGCCTCCTGAGAAGAGTCCTGCACCAGCTTACAGACGGCTGGTAGGATGCGGTCGGTCAGATCTTTAGCTCCAGACAGCAGACGAGCGGCTCCGACCCGCTCCACCAGACCGCTGAGATGCAGAGCCGCACACTTACGCACTAGGAATATCGCATAAAAAAAACCTTGGATGGAAACGCCAAGATGCGCATAAATTCTAAAAATGCACATTAAAAAACGTGAGTATGATAAACTTTTTATCCGATAAGAAAAAATGCATATAAACTATGATGAAAACACTGAATAATTTCCACTATGCGCATCTAAAAAGTCATGTGACGGGATAACTTGACTAGCAGCGGACCGATCTCGTTCACAGCATCTGAAACGTTGTTCTGAAAAGCCTGAGTAAAGTCTGAAACGCATTACAGAATAACATCTCTAACCCTCTATATCAAACTACAGTCAGAAAAATATACCTATTTGTGATGGAACAGTCAATGTTTGCATGTGTGTTTTTGTTGAGTAACCCCTAGTGAAAGATATATATACAAAATGTATTTGAAATACATTTATTTCATGCTAAGTATACCACAAATACATTTAAATATTCATGTACTTAATAAAGATAGCCTGGAATTGTACTTTTAGTATACTAAACTGGTATACTTAAAGTCTGCTTAATTGGAACAACTAATTTTGTGCTTAATGAGCTTTAATTGTGCAGAAGTAGCGCTGTAGTACAATTAAAGATATGCTTAATATATTTGATTGTGCTAAAGTGGAACTATTGCAAGTATACTTTAGGTACACTTTAAATATTTTGCATGTAAAGACTGATATTAGACTGCTTAGACGAACTGAAACTCTGGCTTGCTAGTAATTTCTTAAGTCTTAATGAGAGTAAGACTGAAATTATCTTGTTTGGTTCAAATGATCACAGCATTCATGATGTTGATCTCGATACTCTGTTACCTTACAGTAACACCTGTGTTCGGAATCTGGGGGTTTTGCTTGATAACAGTCTTAAATTTGATAAGCATAACTCACATGTGCTCAGGGTGTGCTAATGATTAGATCACATCAACAGTGTGGCTCATTCTTGAAGCAAAGATTTGTCTGAATGATGATTAGACTCACTGTTTGGATCGCTGCATTTATTCTGTGAATAATAAAGCAGTAATTGATGTCATAAAATAATGAATATGTTTTGATTTAAAGGTCAGAAGCTATCGCTTACATGAATAAAATAAAAACATTACAAACACGACACCTGTAAATTAAATAATTGTATACTGATTTATTCATTAATGTGTAATATGTTTTCTTTTTTAAACAAATCATAAGCTCTAAAAGATTTTCAGAATTTGTACAACTCTTTTGCTTTAGACCATCTACAAATGTTAAATCTTAAAATAAAACGTTAGGGTTAACCTTGCATCTTTCTGGGGGGGAAAAAATGCAGCGATTGATATATTTATAGCTATTTTCAAAGCTTCAATGTACTGTCAAAAAACCTTCATTATTGTTTATTTAATTCTAACAAATAAGTTCTTACAAATAAAATTGAAAATATTTTGCTTAGACAGGAGAGACTTGGTGTTGTTTCCAAACAAAACGAAATATATCAGTTATCGGCCAAAATGAGTTAAAAAAATATCGGTATATCGGATATCTGAAATAATCCAACATCGTGTCTGGTAAGAATTTCGAAACGGTCATGCATGCATTTGTAACATCTCGACTAGGCTATTGTAACTCTTTGTACATTGGTGCCTCTCAGACATGTGTGATACGCCTACAGTTAGTTCAAAATGCCGCAGCCCAGCTCCTCAAAGGGAAGCGTAAAAGTGATCATATCACACCGGTTCTGATTTCACTTCATTGGCTACCGGTCAAATACAGAATTGATTTCAAAGTTTTAAACCTTCATTATTGTTTATTTAATTCTAACAAATAAGTTCTTACAAATAAAATTGAAAATATTTTGCTTAGACAGGAGAGACTTGGTGTTGTTTCCAAACAAAACGAAATATATCAGTTATCGGCCAAAATGAGTTAAAAAAATATCGGTATATCGGATATCTGAAATAATCCAACATCGTGCATCCCTAAATTTATCATATATGAAAGTTATTATATTCAGTGGCTTCTCCTACTTTTCTTAGTGATATTTAGTGCCAGTTTATCAGGAAGTGACGATTTTGCTTTATACGCAAATGTTTTATGCGATATTCCAGTTTTGTGCAGAAGTTTAATTTGAATCTTTGGATGGAAACATAGCTATTAACACTAGGGTTGGCAAAATGGCTGAAAAACTACATTTGAATTTTGTACTAAAATATTATCAATATTCAAATTATATTCGAATTTAAAAGGTATAATTTCAGTTAGGGGGAAAAAAAGCTTTTGGCTTCTCTCCTGAGGCCACAAGAGGGCGCATCGAGCAAAGTATTACTAATGCACGTATTAAGTAATAAAATAACATGACTATCTTTGAAAAAAAAAAGTGCATAATGTTTAAAATAATGTTTATAGGCCAAATATAATTAATTAAGTTGCTTAAACAAATAGAACCAAAACACATTTTATATTTAAAAACATGAGATGCAGTGGGACGGGGGAAAACCGCCATAAAGTCTCGAGACGTGTATTTTTAAAAGTTGAACTTACATTAATTTTAAGTGGCTTTCTAAACATGCGGCTCTCTTGTGCGAGACGGATTTGGATTTTTATTTTGAATTCGACAAATATTCGAATTTTTATTGGACCGCCCTCCTGTGTATCACTGCGAAGCTGCTCTGAAATTATCTGTATTGTATAAAGTGCTATAGAAATAAATGTGACTGGTCTTGAAATGATTTGTGAGCGTGAGCTGCAGTAGTGACTGACCTCCTGAATGAGAGCGAGACACACGTCATGAATCCTGCTCATGAGCACGTCAGGATGATACTGAGCCAAACTACGCAGGAAGTTCATCCCCTCGATCTTCTTCTCCCTTCATGAACAGAATATATTTACGCTAACGACTTTACAAGAGGATCTGTCGATCTCTATTTGTGTGTGATGATGAACGAGCACACCTGTGTCGATGCTAAACACAGACTCACCAGTCGTCTGCGGCGATCAGTCTGAAGCTTTGCGTTAGCGCCAGCTCCGGTTTAGAGAACGGCCGCAGGTCTGCCTGATCCTGACCCTCTTTCTTCAGACTCCCAGTAATCAACTCATCTGATGGACAGACATGAACAACTTTATTATGATCGAGACAAACCTCAGCGACAGACTGATTATATCTGACATGACATTTATGAAGTCTGTAGAAGCTTTTATCCACGGTAAACATGTTATAAGTGTGATCCCTGGGAACTGAAGCCATGACCTTGTTGAGATAGATCTACAATTTACTGACTAAAGCTGCGGTCACAATTTTGCAGGGGAAAAAAGTACATTTGTGAATAGTGTAATGATATATGAAGCACGGTCACTTTCAAATCAAGCAGCTTTCTGTGGGTCAATGCAGTGAATTTGCATGACTAAGTGAAAGCGATGTGAAATTTGCATGTGGAAATCTTTTCGTTTCCTATTGAAATTAATTAATATAAAATTAATTAAACCTTACCAAAAAGCAGTAAATGTGAGCGAATTTAGTGTTAGTTGCCTGTAGTATCACTACCGTTCAAAAGTCTGGGGTCAGTAAGATTTTTCTGAAAGAAGCCTCTTCAGCTCACCAGGGCTGCATTTATGTGATCAAAAATACTGTAAAAATTGTGAAATATTATTATGATTTAAAACAGCTGTTTTCTATGTGAATGTATGTTAAACTGTAATTTATTTCTGTGATGCGCAGCTGTATTTTCAGCATCATTCCTCCAGTCTTCAGTGTCACATGATCTTCAGAAATCATTCTAATATGCTGATTTGCTGCTCAAGAAACATTTCTGATTATTATCAATGTTGAACACAGTTGTGCCGCACAATATTTTTGTGGAAACCGTGATACATTTTATTTTTCAGGATTCAGAGATGAATAGAAAGTTCAAAAGAACAGCTTTTATCTGAAATATAAATCTTTCTAACATTATAAATGCCTTTACTGTCACTTTTCATTCATTTAATGCATTCTTGCTGAATACAGTAATTAATTTTTTTTAAATCTTACTGACCCCAAACTTTTGAACAGTGATGTAAAGTCTGCACATACAGTGTGTGTATATGTGTATATTTTCTCTCTCACCGGAGCTGTGTGATGCAGGCGGTCTGATCCGGTTCAGACTAGACACTCGTCTCAGTCGTGGCGCTGCGTTCCTATTGGGCAGGCTGGTCGGGGGGGCGGGCTGATGGGCGGGGCTTAGATATTTCACTGGATTCTGCGATCCAGTCGGGCAGGAGGGAGATTCATCAGAGAGCGACTCACATCCGTTCAGACTCACGTCTGGAAACAAACCATAAACGGTGAGCACAGAGACGACAGATGAGCGATGGCCGTCACTGCTGTTGACCTCTCACCTTTCACACTGTCGATGAGCACGCGGCGTCTCATTGGATCCTGAGCGGGGGGCGTGTCCTGCTGATGCATCTTGTCGCTCGTAGACTCGGACAGTCTGACTCTCTCCTGTAACGCACACAGATCACGTGACTCAGGATCACAGCGGAGGCTCAATTTAAAGGGGTCAAGACAAGTGGGTGGATTTTTATCATTGTAGGGTGGTTGTATTCAACCAACACACATTTATGTCCAAACAGCATGTAAAATTGGATTTTGCATAATAGGTGCCCTTTAACATTATACGTAAACCTCAAGGAACATGTTAAAATTAGGGCTGGACGATTTTCCCGATTTTATCGATTAATTTGAATTTAATGTTTTGCCACAATAAAATTTTTTTAGAAATCGAGGAATCGTGATTTTGAATAGAAACATTACCAAATGTTAGAATTAGACACTTTGACAATATGCCGATGATAACAGTAAAGAGAAAAGAACGATCCAACCGCATGTCACATGTGATTAACCGCTCTGTGAAGGACCATAAACATAGCGCTAAGCACCATTCACACAGAATGCGCTTTTGTGTTGACAAAGATGCAACGCGGGCAGTGGAATAGGAAACACATGCAAGAAGATGGGAGTGAGCTTCTTTTAACTTGAGCGCCGTGTTTTTAGAATGCAGTTTCATGCATGAGATGCTGCAAGAGACGCGAGCGCAACCATGTTTACACAAAAAAAACAATGGAAAAGCAGCGCAATCGAATAAAAAAAACCTGTAAAGAACTACTACTGTATGTCTGATATTTCATGTTTGCATCATGGTGACTTGACTGAAAGCTGCTGTTGTTTTTACAGAACATTTATAGTTACATTAGTAGTCTACTTGTGTTATACCTTCAGTCATTTTGAATTTGAATTACCTTGACTTTAGAGATTTTTTAAAGCATTTTCCTCGTATTATTTCTGAACACATAATATGTATAAGACAAGTTTGTACCGGATGTAGTTGTAGGTCATGCATTTTTTCTGCAAAGATATTTAACAAGTGATTTGTTTAACATTTACATCATGTGTGCTGCACTTGGAATAGAATTTTCTTTAACTACAGGGTTAATAAAGAAAAAGTTACTTGAATCATGTTGTGGTTACATTTTCAAGTTGACTAGTTAAAAATCGTAAAAAAATCGAGTCGGTCAAACGTTCTGGAAAAATCAAGATTTAAATTTTTTGCCAAATCGCCCAGCCCTAATTAAAATAATAAAAAAATCCATGTCATGACCCCTTTAACACCGTCAGCCTGTTTGAGACGCACCTGAGTGACCGGCAGCTCCTCTGATTCAGGACTGGCGTCAGACTCGACGAGTGCGCTGGTGAAGCCGCTTTTACCGGCCGAGTCGCACTGCTCGGGAGAAGACGCCACACTGAGACGACTGGGCAGAACAACCGAACCGAACACTCCTGCAGACATGAGGGAAGAAGACGAGCGAGGATGAGAGCGGCTGTGCTTTAGATCAGCTCACAGTAAAACAGCGGTGAACTGACCTCGTCCGATCACGCCCTCCGACATGTCACGACTGCACGACACACGCTGCTGAGATCCTGAGAGAAACACGTGACATTATTACATCAAAAACTACTCAACGGGACTCTCAGACATCCTCAAACAATTTATACACTACTGATAAAAGACTGGAATAATTCAGATTTTAATGTTTGTGAAAGAAGTCCCTTCTGCTCACCAAGATGCATTTATTTGATCAAAAATGCAGTAGAAACAGTGAAATATTATTACAAAGTAAAATTTCTGCTTTCTATGTAAATATATAGTTAAATGTAATCAAACCGTGATACACAACCATTCACAAATCTGGGATAAGTAAAATTTAACAACAAATTAATACTTTATTTATTTTTATATATACAGGTGCATCTCAAAAAAGTAGAATATCGTGAAAAAGTTTTTTTTTGTAACATTTCAAAAAGTGAAACTTTCATATATTCTAGATTCATTACATTTAAAGTAAAACATTTCATAAGTTTTTTTGTTTTAATTTTGATGATTAGATCCTACAGCTCATGGCAGTCAAAAATCCAGTATCTCAAAATATTAGAATATTTCCTAAGATCAATCAAAAAAAGGATTTGCAAAACAGAAAAGCTCAAGTTGTTTAAAGTATGTTGAGTTCTGCACTCAATACTTGGTCGGGGCTCCTTCAGCACAAACTCAGCATCAGTGAGGAGTGAATGGAAGCGATCCACCTGTGGCTCTGCTGAGGCACTATTGAGCTTCAGCTCGGATCCACTGTTTCTCATCTTTCTCTTGAAAATATCCCAGTCCTGCTGGAAAAGGAAATCAGCATCTCCATAAAGCTTGTCTGCAGATGAAAGCATAAAGTGCTCCAAAATCTCCTGGTAGACGGCTGCATTGACTTTGGACTTGATAAAACACAGTGGACCAACACCAGCAGACGTCACGGCTCCCAAATCATCTCTGACTTCAGAAACTTCACACTGGACTTCAAGCAGCTCGGATTCTGTGCCTCTCCAGTCTTCCTCCAGACTCCAGACCTTGATTTCCAAATGCAAAATTTACTTTCATCTGAAAAGAGGACTTTGGAGCACTGAGCAACAGTATTCTCAGGCTTGTGGTCATCCCTGTTACTTGTGCTGCTGAGTGGTTTGTGATTGTAGCTCCATGTAGCTTCGCTTTTCTGTTGAATCTCTATCTTACTATCACTCTCTGTTGTTTAAAGTGATCAAATGTAACTTAATTCCCACCATATATCCGATATTATCTTTTAAACTAATCTGATTAATTTGATCGTTCGCTTTTAATTTTAAACCGTGAGTGCAGCGCGTTAGCATTCGATAGCCGGTTAGCTTGTCATTCGCGTTTCCATTCACGTCTATTACCGTTTTATTTTTTCTCTCGCTCCGTTTCTTTTCTCTCTCGCGCCGTTTTTCACGAGTTCATCAAACAACAGTGGTAAGTCGGAATCATTCAGCAATCACGGTGAGTAATGGCTTCTTCTCCTGCTATTGTTGTTTGCACCGCTTGCCACATGTATAGTTTAGCTCTCTCTGTCAGCAGCGAGGGATTCACATGTGATAAATGCAGGGAAATAGTTAGGCTGACAGAGAAGGTTTCAGAACTAGAGACACGCATCCAAACTTTAATTGAGGACAGTAAGAATGTGAGGGCTCTAGATATGGCTTTGGATGCGACTAGCTCAGGGAGTCCCCGGGTCAACTCACCGCTCTTCCGTTCCGATCAAAACATTAAACAATTTATACTGTAGGGATGGTCATTTAATGAAACTCAAATGTAAATATTCTAATATTTTGAGATACTGGATTTTTGACTTTCATGAGCTGTAAGCTCTAATCATCAAAATTAAAACAAAAAACTTTTGAAATGTTTTACTTTACATGTAATGAATCTAGAATATATGAAAGTTTCTCTTTTTGAAATAAGTTACAAAAAAAGAACTTTCACGATATTCTAATTTGTGAAAGTTCCTTGGGCCAATTGTGTGGACCTTACAAGTTTAACAGATATTCACATAGAAAACAGCTGTTTTACATTGTAATAATATTTCACTGCTTTTACTGTATTTCTGATCAAATAAATGCAGCTTTGGTGAGCAGAAGAGACTCCATTAAAAAGATTTAAAAGTTGTAATGTTTCCGAACTTTAGACAAGTACTGTAGTTCGTTTCCATTTCAATTCAAATTTATTATTTTACTGTATTTTTAATCACACAAATGAGCAAAGAAATGTTTTAATTGGTAATGTCTAAGGTTTACTGAATTCGCCTCACCTTTAGCGGGTCTGAGAGCGCGGAGCGGCTCGCGGCCGGCGGCTCTGATCTGCGGTGTTGATGATGTCATGTCGCTGGGCTTCTCCTCGTCTGGATCTAACGATCTGTTTGAGTAAACGAGTCTCTGACCGATCACACTCACATTCCCATCAGACAGACTCTTCTCCTGCTGCATCACACCTGTAACACAAAACACACAGAGGACACGTAACACACACCGTTTGACAGCACGCACGCAACTGTGCTCGTGTGCTTCACATACACACCTCGAGCGCTGACGTCTGCTGTGACGCGTCTTCCTGATGGCACTTGTGGTTTCACAGCAGAGTTCACAGGGCTAGAGTCATGAAATAAACCAGAAATGATAATTAAATCTACTGTACAGCATCTGTTAGCACACACACACACACACACACACACACACACACACACACACGAACTTGAACACAGGTAGGGTTGGGTATCGTTTGAATTTGATCAACTCCGATTCCAATTCTGCTTATCGAGTCCGATTCTTTTCGATTCCCAGTTTCGATTCCAATGTGATTATATAAAAAATGATATAAAACATATTTATTCTGTGTCTCTTTTTGCAAAAGATTTAGTTACAGCTGAATACCATGCACAAAAATCAGCAGGCTACATAAAAACTGGACTTGCTGTTTGTATGCAAAATAGAGCTGCACGATTCTGGATAAATTAAGGGGG